TATATATATATATATATATATATATATATATATATATATATATATATGTATATATATATGTATGTATGTATGTATGTATGTATGTATGTATGTATATGTATATGTATATGTATATGTATATATATAGCTAAACTCTGAACCAGGTCACGCTGATAAATATATCTTTTTCCTACCTATATCATTCTTCAAATGAGAATTCTAGATATAGGGAAGGACAGGCCAGCAAAGCTTAATAGCCTTGAGACAAGTTAGATGGGTCGAAGTAAGTATTTTAAGTTATACCATGGCCTGAGTTTGGGCCAACTCCTCACACAAAGATTCTACTTAGCTATCTGCATCAATTGAGTCTGGCTTAGGTCTTGAGACAGAATCAAGACTTGTCTCAATACTCCAAGGAACCACCTAAAACATTTGAAGAAAAGAATCAGGCTAAGCACCTTGGCAATAAAACCCACTTGAAAGTGTTCCAGTTCTGGCTTAATAAGTATTAACTATATATATTACAACTAGTGACTTAGTGAGATGAGGTTTAATGAACATCAACTGAGTAATGCAAGGGTTTCTATAGCCCATGTTTAAGAATTGGTTTGTGGTAGGGAATCGTGAACATAAGAAAAGTAATTCCTCTATATCTCAGATTCTTTTATTTTGTCCTTTTGTCATGATCTTGACTATGATTAATTTGTTTTATGATTTCAAACTACTTTTCAGTGTCACCTGTAATGTTTTGTGGAATTAAACCTTGGACTGAATTACAGTTTTACATTTGGAAGTATTTCTATAATCTGATGCATGGAACTAATGCATAAGAATCAATGTGAAAATCGTACAAAACACTGGAAATAGCCCAGATGAAAATGTTCACTGGTATCAAATTATACAACATAAATGCTAAGAACAAAAAAAGTTTTTACTGTTTTACAAAACTATTTTTAAAATCTAGTTTAACAATTATGTCAGAAACGTAAGAAATTTGCTGCAATTCAGCTTAAATGCAACAAGAAAATTTAGAAGAAACCAGATAAAACTGTTTTTAAAATCTAGTTTTAATGCTCTGAAAATCAAGTTACTTACATCGAAGTTGGGCACACTGGGTTCTCTGAAGTCATTCCACAGTTTTCTGGGGATAACTCCTACAGGAATGTCATGAGTCACAATGCGGCTACTAGTTGACAAGGAAGGCTAGAAGAAATAAACTTTATATGACCAAAAGCGTAATTTTTCATTATTTAAAGAATTACCACATTTCATTGCAGCATCCATAAATATTTTATACCAGAACACAATTCCTTCATAACTGCAAGTAACACCATGACTTCAAGCCTATGAAAATTGGTACCATAAAGTTATCTCTTCTCCAATCATGTGTGGATAGTTACAGTGAAACATGGTCCACCCTTAATCATTTCCTTCTAATATTTGCCTGACGTTTAGACAAATCTTACAGCAAAATTTTCAAGAAATCAACTGCCAAAGTCCTGGAAATCAAATTTGAAATGATTGCCACCTGGAAGCTTAGAAGACAATTTTGCTTACCGTACAAAACACTCAAATGTGCTTTGAACCCACTATTTACTTCTTCATAGCCTGAATCTTCACAATGCAGATCTCCGTTGTTTAAGAAATTAAATCACACAGAATTAAATAGTAACAGATTTCCTTATGCTGTCATTTTTACATGGTTTCTGTAAACTGTAAAAACCCCAAACTAATCCTCATACAGAGGCAACCAAGTATTAGTATTATAATTTAGCAGAATTGAAAGCTATTATTTTCCTCTGATACTATATAGTAAATCTAGGGACTTCAAAGAGCTAAAATGCCACAGTATCAGGGATAACCGTATCCGAATGTTCAACGATATGAAGATCTCCCTGTGCAAAGTTATGCTGAAAGAAGTTAATGTGTCATGAGAATTTACATTTGCATTTTGTTATTGACTTGAGTATATTGCAATTCTCCTTTGATAGGAAGACTGACATTTCACTTAGAATAATTCTCTACTCACCAGCTCCATGGCTACTGTAAGGCAAGGACACTGTTTATTAGTCAATTTGATTTTCACTGTCTTGGCATTTTGAGCAGTTTTAAAAGCCCTGGAGAGGTTTTCAGGTGCCAGTTCTAAATAAATTTCATTATTTTCTGCAGAGACACCCTCCATCTGGAATTCATCAAAGAAGTTCATCTAGAACAATTTTAGAAAGCAGAGATGCTGATAAGGTTAGTGTTATTAATATTGGGTTTCATTTAAAAGTATTTTGTATGGGTTTAGTTTTTCTTTTGCTTTCATAGGTAAGTAAGTATAAGTAAGATAGCTGCTATATCATGAATGTAATCTTACGACTTGACTTGTATGAAATATCAAAAAGTATGGTCAAAAGCATTAATTCACACACATCTACAAACAGATCAGATAACAACAACCCATAGCATTTAATAGCTAATTAAACAAACAATACACATGGAAAAATTATTAACTTTCATTTGTTAAAATCTTCCAACACACAATAAAGTCTCACAAAAAATATTATACATCCTGTCTATAATCCTTTCTATAGTTTAACAGAAACTTTTTTTTTCAAATAAAGCCTTTAGTTTGAATAAAAGGAACTTTAATCTCTGTATTTTATTTAACTGTATGCCATATACCAGGGGTTGCCAACATTTTGGACCTCAGGGACCACCAAACTCATAATTTTAAATCCCGCGGACAAGAGACGCTGGGAAAACCCCCCAAAAAATCTGCAGGAAATTTCCCCACTCCATTTTCCTACCGATCGATCGTTCTTTATTTGGGATTGCAGGATACTGTTTCCAGTTCCGTTCTTAGGGGAAGAGAGACAGAGAGAGACTTTTGGCTTCATGCAAGGAAAACAGCAGAAGCAGAAGCCTTTCTTTCTCTCCCCCAAACTTCGCCAGAATGGCACAGCCTCCTGGAGCAAAATGCCTTGCAGGATCCCACAGACTCATTTCTTGGGGGAGAGGAAGAGAGACTTTTGCTGCTTTCCTTGCGTGCAGCCAAAAACAGAAGAAAGAAGTGGAAAGAAGCGGCCTGGTGGCCAGGCGGGGCGAGTGAGGCAAGTTCCTCCTCTCTGCCCTTTCCCCCCTCCCCTCAATATCTTGTGTTGTTCACACTATGATTCAAGCCTTGCGTTCCCATGGGCCATGTGGGTGGCACAGCTTTGTGTTGCCTCGCAGTCAGGATTGCTTTAGGGGATGCTTTGAGGGAGGGGTGACATTTCTCTGTGGACCATCAAAATTTTCTCATGGACCTCCAGGGGTCCCTGGTCCAATGGTTGGCGACCACTGTCATATACTAAACAAATAAACTATTCAATTCTACTTTGCTGGCAGATGCATAGATTAAATAAATCTCTAGATTAGAGATATATAAAATACAAGCCACTGACCATTAGCTTCCCTCTGAATTTTCTGCAGTTGCTAATCTGCAGTGACAAGAAATAAATGCTACCATCTGGAGACAATTAAGAACGGGAGAAAAAAGCTGCTTTTAGTTCAACCTACATTATGCTATCATTACTTGCATGATTTACTGCTATGGACTCAGATTGTTACATAATCACATAGCAGTTGTTCTGTCTCACCATATAAAAGAGTAACAGAATGGACCTTAGAAGTCTTCTAGTCAAACCCCCTGCTAAAGGAAAAGACACTGTACCATTCCAGAAAATGACAGTCAAATCTCTTCTTAAAAGTCTCCAGTGATGGAACATCCACAACTTCTGAAGGCAAACTGTGCCACTGGTTAATTGTTCTGTCAGGAAATTTCTCCCTAGTTCTAGCTTATTTCTTTCTATCCATTGTTTCTTGTTTTCCTTCTGGTACTTTGGAAAATATTTTGAACCCCTCTTCTTTCTGGCAGTCACTCAAATATTAGAACACTACTATCATATCACCAAAGTATTTCTTTTCTCTAGACTAGACATACCCAATTCCTGCAACTGTTCTTCATTGGTTTCAGTCTCTTCCCTCCCAATCAGGTTTGTTAATTCTTTTCTGCACTCTTTGCAGAATCTCTACATCTTTTTTATAATACTATGACCAAAACTGGGTGCGGTTTTTTAAGTGTGGTCTTACTAAGGCTTTTTAAAGCGGTACTTCATGTTATCTTGATTCCGTCCCTCCATTAATGCAACCTAGGACTGCATTGGCATTTTTGGCTGCTGCCACACACTGCTGGCTCTGTTGAGTAAGTGTAAAAATTTACCTTTTTCTATGTTTAATTTCATTTTGTTAGTGTTAAAATCTGTCAAGGTTCATCTGGATCTTGAATGTTCCTTCTGGGGTGTTGGCTATTCCTGCCAGTTTAGTGTCATCTGCAAGTTTGACGAGTTCCCCTTCTATTCCCTTATTCAAATAGTTTATGAAGATGTTGAAAAGTACTGGGACTAAAATGAAACCTTGGGGTACCCCAATGCTTACGTCCCTCCATGGAGATGTAGTTCCATTAAGTACTACATGTTTTGTCAGTCAGGTATAAATACATCAGATAATGACACTGTCTATCCCATATTTTTTTAGCTTACCAAGAAATGAGTTCTGGTCTATTTTGTCTAATGCCTTACTGAAATCCAAGTATAATATGTCCACTGCATTTCACTGGTCCATCAATTCAGTCACTTTGTCAAAAAATGAAATAACCTTTGTTCAGGATGATGTTTTTGACAAACCCGTTCTGGGTGCTGGTTATAACTTTGTTTGCCTCTAGGTGTTCATTTCTCTGTTGCATATCTCCACAAATATTGATGTCAGGATGATTGGTTTCTGGTTTTCTGGAATCTATCTTTTTTCTTTTGAAATTGGGAACCATTATCAGCTCTTTTCCAGTCTTCTGGTAGTTCCCTGGTACTCCAGAATCTTTGAAAAATATAGTTCAATGATTCTGAGATCACATCTGCTACTCCTTTAGAACTCTGGGATAATTTTGGTTCCAATAATTTGAACTCATCTAGATCAGACATGTGTTTTCTTATCATTTCTTGCTTATTTTAATTTGTATTCTACTTTCTCTGTATTTTTGATAAGCTGATCTGCATTATCTTTTTGCATGAAGACAAATACAAAAAATGAATAAAATAGCTCTGCTTTCTCTCCACTGATGATTACTTCTTTGCCATCTTCTCTCATGATTGGACCAAATGTTTCCTTGACTTTTTTTTCTTGTTTCTTATATGTTGAAAGAAACTGTATTGTTTTCGTCATTTGTTGCAAGTCTTACTTCATTTTGAGCCTTAGCTTTCCTGATTTCATCTTTGTAGATTTGGGCTATAAGATGATATTCTGCCTTAGTTATGTTTCTCTCTTTCCATTTTTTCTATTTATCCTTTTTGTCTTTCAGTTTATTAGAAAGTTCTTTGTGTAAATATACTGGTTTCTTTTGTCTTTTTTTAAATAAAGCATTTAAGTTCTTTTATGAGCACCTAGTACGTGCATTACTTTTGTAGTAGGAATCACATCAGAAATTACTTTTGATTGTGGAGGAAAATCCAGAAATCTCCCCCTCTCTGCTTTACCTACACTAATAGTGAGAAGCTTGCAAGCAAAAACAGAAATACCAACTAAGAGGCAATTCACCTCTGTTTACTTTATCTGGATGATACTGTGTTAAGACAGGTGCTAAGCTATCTAAACTCTATTCTTCTATATCCTTAAATTATGACAATGATTTTCTGGCTCTTCTTGGATATCATTTAATTCTTATGCGTCTTTAATTACTTCAAATTCAACTTGCATTTTTGCTTGCCTTCTGTCTTTCTTGTTCGTTTATTTCTATCTAATTATTTTTGACATTTTGTAGGAACATTGGAGGAACTGCTTATTGTTATGTACAATACTGTTGCCATTACACCACACATAATTCTTTGTGAGGAGCAAGTATTCACAATGAAAGAACATATCTGTTTGCTTGTTACAAAATTAAAACCAAATGCACTTCATAGTTTGCTGTTTTTAATATTTTTCACCCCAGGACTCTTACCTGGTTAAGCTCACACCACATGCTAACACCGCCATTTGCCACTTTGTCACTGAGGATGAAGTAAAGTTTATCCAAAGTAAGCCGCAGGATACAAGTTTTAGCTAATTTAGCAATTGTGCTTATCACACCTGTCAAGACAGTACATTTTACAACATACTCTCTTAATATCTCTATATAATAGAACAACTTGAGTCACAGGAACAAAAATAGAGGATGAAACTTCATTACCAAACAGGCATAATTAGAGGTTAATTTGGAAGTTGCATTAAAAATTACTGGACCCCACTTATAACCCATCACTAAAATATTAATTTATCACTTCTATAAGATTAACAAAAAAGATTTGGAGCCAAATTTATAATCAGTGCAATAGTTTTTCAGCTGTTTACCTGTGTGCAACTGTGACTGAATTTTTATAAGGTTTTATTGACAAAATTAATAAGCAATTCTTATCTCACTCAGTGTTTGCTAATCATGGAAGTATAAAAGGAGTCAGTCTTTGAGGTAACATAGTACTAATAGTCATTAAGATAGGCTGCAACTTTTGAAGTATCCCTGTAAATACCCCCCTTTTTATTTTCCCTGTATATTTTTACTTCTCTAAAGGCAGAATGAAAACATGAAATTCTTCCTGTACTACACACATTATCTGAATAATATATGGCTTGTTTCAAGCTTAGCACACTCTGGGAAGCAAATCACTGGAAAGAATATGTATGTGCTTGAATTAATCCAATTCAACTGGCAGCTATGGAACTATCATACCATTTAGCCACCTCGGTAGCGTGGAACAAACAGATGGACTGTCAAATAAATGAAACACTTTATTTTTTTTAAATCAACAGCCACGTTTCTATCTCCATTCCTAGCGGAAGGCTTGGAGGAAGCCCGCCCTTTTGATGGAAAAGCGCCGCTTTTTAAAAACTGCAAATCGGGCGGACACTCGGTCAAAGAAATCACGGAGGGGGAGGCAAAGCCGAGTGTGCTCTTTCCAATGCTTTTTCTTTCCAGCTGAACTTCAGCCTTTTTTCTCACGCTCTACTCACGAGTGAAATGATTGAGACATCCCACGTCTATAATCTTCGCTCGAAACCGCATGACAAAAACTGCTTCAGCATCAAAGCTCTCCCTCGCTTTCCTCCAATCAACCATAGAGAAAAAAGGGAGACAAGTGCACTTCCGGTTCCCGTTTTAAGCGTCTCAGTCGTTTTTATGCGGAGTCCTCCAAACTTGGCAACTTTAAGATTTGTGGACTTAAACTTCCAGAATATGCTGGCTGGGGAATTCTGGGAGTTGAAATCCACAAGTCTTGGGGACCCGTTTTTATGCAAAGTTACCGCAGAGTTATCTCGCTGCTTCTTCCTTCCTTCCTTTTCTTTTTTTTCTTTTCCCATTTGGGCCAGCGGTTTCATAATCTCATGGCCAGCCCAACGAAGTGGGAATCGGAAATGTCGCAGATCCGACAAAAGACCAATTTCTAATTCTACGAACTCTTTCCATAATTTCTTCGATCTATGGTGAAACCCGGAAGCCGAACCAAGGGGTCGCTGCCAACAATGCCTCCCCCCCCGTTTTTGTTTCACTTTCCTTTATTTTGTTTACTGGCGGTTCGGAAAGGTTGCATTTTAACGGGAAAAAAAGATGATTAGTGTCTCCCGATTTAGGACTTTTCAGGAAAGTTTTCGCCGTTCCATCTGGCGAACAGCCGCAACACAAGTTTGGGGGGTGGGGCGACTCGCAGAAAGCATTACCTAATCATGTTATGCTTACTAACAGAAAAATAAAGTTGGAAGGACCTTAGTGGTTTTCTAATCCAACCCACGCGCTCAAGCAGGAGACCCTATAGTATAGGCATAGGGCCTATTCCACATCAGACAAGTGACTGATCTCTTCTTAAGAGTCTCCACCCCACCAAGCCACGCCCACAGAACCGGTAGTTAAAAAAAAACTGAATCCCGAAACTTAAGTGGTTTCAATCTTCTGATAATCAAATTGCAAGAAAGAAGCTTGCAGAAAAAGTGGTTTATTTGCCGGTTTATTTTTAAAATCATATCTTTCTGCAGCTGTGCTTCACATACATCCTACTCTATCCCAAATCTCTGACAGGCCAGGGTAGCTTGGTTTTCACGAGGAAGATGGCACGCATCAAGAGTAAATTCTTTCATTACAAAACTTTTGTTCAATAAATGCGTATGAGCTGCGAATGTGTATAATTACTTGTGCAACCACAGAGATAACTACCAACTCTAGCTATGTTACTTTTCTCAGAAAGAAAATGTCTGTGGCCATAGAGAAATAAGATTTATTGTTTTCCTATGTGGTAATTTTTTCATGTGCTTTTCTCCCTGAAGCTATCAATAGTCACAAATAATTTAAAATTCTGTTTATTATATCTATGCTCAATTTACAACTGTTTAGTTCTCCATTTACAGTAATTCATGTAGTGATCATTTGAACTTACAACAGTACTGAAAAGAGTGACATGACCATTTCTCACACTTAAGATCATTGCAGCATCCCCATGGTCACATGATGAAATTCAGATACTTGGCAACTGGCTCATGTTTATGATGGTTGCAGTGACTTGGTGTCATGTGATCAGCTTTTGCGAGCTTCTGACAAGCAAAGTCAATAGGGAAGCCAGGTCCACTTAATAACCATGTTTACTACCTTAACTGCAGTGATTCACTTAACAGGTATAGCAAGAAAGGCTGTAAAATGGAGCAAAATCATTTAACATGTATCTTGCTTAGCAATGGAAAATTTAGGCTCAATTATGGTTGTAAGTCAAGGACCACCTGTATTTCATAATAGAATTAAGACAGAAATTCTATTACAAAATGCTATACATAATATGCTATACAGTGTATGCTATACAATAATGTAATAAGAATAGGTTAGCTTCCTAGAATGCATTTCTTCATTTTAGTTATAGAATGAGAACCTTGGCAAAATTACAATAATTTGTCATTTGGCTGCTATCATTTCATCCTTTATTAGCATGATCATCTACACAATTCTTAGATGCTCTCGGATCTCCATGCACTCTAAGCCGATAAATGCAAGTATACTTAGGATGGCCCCAGTTGTTTATCACTTTCAGCTTTATATATCTCGTCAATTCAGAAGATTCATTCTGAAAAAGAGAGAGATTTTTAATTCTGCCGTGGCTTAATTATTGTGATTAAATATAATTACAGGTAATATGTTTTTCTTGCGATACATTTGGTGTGCACAGAACACTAACATAAAACTAGCATATGTGTTCAATAGGAATAGTCCTATATTTACAACTTGCCTCAAGAACTCCCCTCCTTATTCTCCTCCCATATAATTGGAAGGAATATCAATCATGACTATTTTAAAAGATACTTGGTTTAATGCAGCTGATTTAACAAACTATTTAAAAAACCACTAGAATAAGTAAAATGCATATAGCACATAAAAAATAAAATTCATTTCTTAAGTTTTGTACTTTACATATACTTATTTTAAATTAACAGTTCCTGGTCTGAATTAAAACAGTATTTATATATATCAATTATTTCTATTATTCCTATGTAGCCCTCAACTTAAAACTGTCGCTTCGCAAGCATTCAAAATTAAAATGGACCCTCAAAAGGTACTTATGACCTAAGTCCCAGAGTTCCAACAGCTGACCCACCCCATGATCACATGACAGCATTTTGGGAACTCAGAAACTGGCCTGCATTTATAGCTGTTGCAGTTTTCTGCTGTCACATGATCTCAATTTACATTTTTACAGAACACTAACATGAAACATCTGATATCTGCCAAAACCAACTGTAGCAAACAATGGGTTCATCTGACTGTGGTTCTTAATACCCATGGTGTTTGCTTAACAACTGCTGCAAAAAAGGTTGTAAAAATTGGGTCAATCATGTGATAACCTGTTATATGATTACCTGTGATAGTGTAATAAAATAAAACATTAGAACCAAAACAATAATAATACAGAGAATGTGCACTTGTCCCCTGAATTTTCTCTGGAAATTTTTGCTTAGATTAGTTGTTTAGATTAAGACTATGAGTGTGGCTGCTGTTCTGACTTTAGGATAGAGCTATTCTATAATCCAGGAATTGCAAGAAAATAATATGTCGGAAAATCTTTTCCCCCAATCTCTCCAAATAGAGGACTTTCAACAAATGTTGAGGGATACTAATGATGGCATGATTCCATAAGGTGGTTGATCTGAAGCTTCCTAAGAACCAAGTCATATAGGCCTTTATGGGTAAAAACTAGCATTTTAAACTGAAGCCTATGGACAAACAATGTACCTCCATAACACAGGTGTTATGTGGCTATTCTCATCTGCCAATAAATAAGAATCTGTCAAAGTAAAGTTCTAATTTCTTCTTCTGCCCAGGCAAAAAAGAGGGAAATGCTCAAACCTGACATTTCACATAGACATCTTACTGTTCATTCATTTAGCACTAGATTAGGATTTAATGTCAAGAGGAATTAACCTATCCAGAGATTCCTTTTTCTTTTTTTTTAACCTTTTGGAAAATCATGATGATTATATAGCTATGCTAACTGCATAGAATACTATAATTGTCCCTTTGGTCAGCAGCAATGTTTATTAAAATTGTGTGGAAATTTCCCAACAACGTCTACATACTTTCAACTGGAATGTTTGAATTAAGAATCCTTCCATGTCATATGTAAACTGACCCAAAAAAGTTCCTTCTTCTTCTACTTCTTCTTTTAGTCCCTTTTGAAAGAAAGGATTTATTACCAACATTCATGACATCATACAGTATTCCATAACAGTAGAAGAGAAACAAAGATTTTATCTATTTTGGAATCAAATTTTATATAAGTATCAAGTCAAATTGTGGACATTTTAAAAATCATTAATATGAGATAATTCATGGATTACTGGCTATTTATTGATGACCCACCGATATCCTAATTAAAGAAGCAATTATTTATATGTACAATTATCATCAACTTAATACTCAGAAATATATATTAAAAATATTATATTTAGTTCACATATCTCAGAAACACACATAGTTTTGTTTAATCATTTTTATACTGAAAAATGCCATACAGGCTGAGTAATTATGCAGTGTCTTTGAAAGACTAATTTAGTCTGAAATGTACTAGTGTACAGTATACTATATGCATTTATGTATCCATACGTACAGAGATGTGTGCACACATACAAAGTACAGCATTTCTTCCATGACCATTGGCTTTTTCCATTATATTTATGAATTAGCTCTCTTAGAATACATAGCTTGATATTTGACTGTTATCAAATCATATAAATAAAGTGATAGCTTCTTCAATTTGTTTTGCCAATTTTATTTCAGAAAGTACTATAAGATTCACTCTAATTAATGAATTAAAGCAGTTTAGATTGTTAAATCCATCAAATTAAATTTGATTTTAATTTGTTCTCCTTCATTTAACCCATTATTAACTTTGTGTGTTAGGAAACCTCTTTTGTTTTTGTAGTTAGGTGGCAAGAAGTAATAGAACTAAGTTATTAGTATGCTACAAGCACTACATGCCAAAGTTTCCTAAGTGATTTCATATAAAGTTATACAGGATGAAGGAATTCAAGCTTTTAAAGGACTATACTTCAGCATGAGAGGATCAATTTCTATTCTATAGTACCTGAGGGCGGACAAAAAGCAATGGGTGAAAACTTAGAGGAAGACCCAACCTGGAATCTTCCACCCTATGATTCTATTATTGTGTCTATGATTGTCAAGATCTCTAAATATAAAATTTTGTGCAAAATGTGGTTTTGTATTGGTTGGATGGGTCAATTTACCATAATGTGGATTTGCGATTGCCATTTATAAAATATGAGCTATAGTTTAATATGTATATGAAGCTAATAAGTTGTGTCTAACCAACAACCATAGTTAAACAATCTGTATAATTATAGCAAGTGTTTAGTATTTTTTAGCTACTCAATTACAGTACTGGTGAAATCAAGATTGTTAATTTGAAAATTAACATATCTCTAAAATCATATATTTATTGGTTAGTTCATTAGTCTAGTGACATAATAAATAAATGTAAAATAAAATATGTGTACTATATTGGAATATAAAATTGGAACATTGGGATATAAAATATATTGGGATACATATAAAAGCATATTGGGATGTAAAAAATGTTCAGTGAAATGATCAACACAATCATCCTCTTTGTTCTGTACAGACATTTACATACTCGAAATCCG